CAAAGCAAAAAGCCATTTCCATGTTCGTATGTTATCCTGATTAGCTGCGTCAGCTATTCTACGAAAACAGGCTGTTTCGTACGTGCCGGAAACCCTGGAAAAATTTCAGCACGACGTAACCGTCATTGCAATAGTGGCGGACTGATTCAAAAGTACAGTAAGCGCTCGTGAACGCTCTTACTGCCTTATAGGAAAAGTAGGCGCAGGTGTGCTACTGTTACAAGGGTCATTACCCCTTCTTGCTCTGCACGCCACAGCGATTGTAATGGAGAGACTACAATGCATGTGATAAATGTTGCTGCCACCAATAACCAGTTTCTGAGGGATGATGTTCAGGAAGATCCAAAATGCGACTACACCCTCCGTGCGCTGCATCTCCGAGCCAGTTGATTCCATGTTGCAGCGCTGTCAGGTCCTACTAATTAGGTCCCAGTGCGAGAACATAGAGCGAATCCCATCACTGAGGTCGTACTTGGTTGCTGAGAGGCACGAGAGGGACACGGTACATATGCCGAAGGCCGGGAGTGAGTGCATACATCAACTGAACATGGCGTGCGATGTTTTCCGTCGCATAGATCCGCTCGAGGCCACTTTTCTGTCTGGTTTGTGCCCGCTCAAGCCGTCCAGTCTTGTGGCAGGCAGAGGCATGACTACGACTGCTCCAGCATGGCAATATCCCACCAAATGCGCCTCTGAATGAAGTACGCAGCCTTGCTCTTGGAGAGGATGGTACTGGTCTCTCTCGATGGGGATGGGGGAAGCAGAGAGGGGAAAAGTCTATTGACACCCCTATCCTACATCTCAGTAATGCACTGGGCCACATAACGCACACCCTCTCGAATCCGATCTCCTGACTATCACCCGTTTCTGATCCATTTGATTTCTATGGTCAGTTTCGCATTTCGTAGACGTAGCCACTCATGAACAATGATGCTCGCCTGCTCTTCAGAGTACCAGAAGAAAGAGTGCACCCATCAAGGAATGCACAATGCTTACGAGTTCCCTCCCATTTTACCGTTCACTCGGATATCGTGCTTGCATAGGACTTCTGGTGTTCATTATGTACATTAACGACCCGTTTGGGTGTCTTCTGTCCGGTGCGCAATGTATGTATACAGATGATGTCAAGGTGTACTGCACAGGAAAACCTGCTCTAATGCAAGCTGCTATTGATGCCATATCATCTTGAGCTAGAAGAAGGGGACTTGCAGACTTCTTTGGCGAAAACTGCAGACTGCTCTGCGAGTGGGACCTCATTGTTCATCAGCTCCCGAACATTCACTCGTTTATGTTGAGTTGAAGGAACCTGATGCACTTAAGAACTTGGGCATTTTGTGTTCTAAATCGCTATCTAGCAACTACTGTATTACCGAGGCA